AGGACACGTGGACAGAGAGATGAACAGACAGAACAATGGCGATCCGCCGCTGGATCTAAGTCGTCATGGTCGCGGCCGGCAGCGCCGCGCGCTTGGCTCGGATCCTGCTCAAGCACGTCGGCTGGATTCGCCCAAATCGCGTGCTCGTCACGGCGTCACCTGGACGGATCTCCCGCGTCGCCCGGCACGGCTCGCCCGCTTCACCATCCTGCTCGAGCGCGTCGCGCGCATCGGGGCGGCTGGATTCCCCTGTCACTGATCCACCTCCTCTATCCAGCGAGTAGCGAGCACAATTAGCGGACGATCCACATCCCATGTCGAGCGAGAACAACGGTATTAGCTTAATGGGTTGGCATAACCGGCCCACTTTACCACATGGCTTGGATTCGGCCTCTGGAATAGCAGCCCATAGGACAGCTGGGCCAGTTGCGGGAGAGATGATTTTACACATTAGATCTGACGGCCAGAAACATTTAGATCGCCAAAACGGACGGTGAGAAACCCAAATCGTTGAGAGAGCTCGCTTTAGGCTCGGTTATACTATCCTTACTAGATCATCGAAGGCACGCGTTACCGCGCCCATCCATTGTTACAATATAATGATAGTATGTACTTAATACCAAATCCCTTGGTGTATTATTAATAGGAACTCGATGGTTTGGGACTATTTTTGCAGAAGTAAAGATAGTACATTGAGGTCACAATTAGAGAACTAAATATCAAAGTTCGGAGGGCAAGATACTCAAGTGAAAAGTAGTAATTATATATCATTGTAACAGGCTCCTTTTAGATGAATTAATGCTAGAAATTTTCCATGTCAAATATGTATCATGGAATCTCATAAACTCAAAGCTCACTCTGGCCTTTATGCAAAATAAAGATCTACAATTAGCTTGCTGAAGTGCGATGCTTTGAAAGACATCAAATATTTCACATATCTTTTTTATAGGATGTACTGCCAAATCAAGCACGCAAAGAGACATTTAAAAAGTAAATAATCATACAACAACAAAACTTTGTTCTAGCCCCCTGCCACACCACCAAGTAAAAGTGTAAGCTTTAATATATGTCAACTGTTGCTACATCTGTTCTTAAGCAGATCATTTGAAGTTCAGTCTTGGTTGGAATTATTTATCGTCTGCCACCACTAATTTTTCTCAAGACAAAAACACCAACTTCTGCTCCAAGGTGAACTTTTTATGTTTTCAGCCTGTTCAAAGAGAGGAAAGAAAAACTTAAATCCATGTGAACCTTGGTAACAGGGTTAATGGTCCATAAAGGTAGTGGTATAATTTTCAACCTTTCATAGCCCATGAAGCTCCCCTTCATAAGCAACAAAACACATCACACAAAAAAGCAGTACCATATTTTCAACAAGGCAAACTTCATTCATGCAAGTGACGGGAAACACACACAAAAACGTGGTTAAAGGGGAAAGTTCCCTCCCTTAAGTGTACGTTATTAGGTAGAAGATGCACCCTCGTGGGTGGGCGGTCTTAAAACCATGCGCTCAAGCCAACAAATCATTATCTGGAAGCAACAACAATTTCAGGTGATTGGGGCATGTGGATCAAACGCAGGTGGACGAGCTTACAACCGACATTCCAAGTTCCCAAGCGTTGTTCTTGTACAAGCCCAATCTAATTAGGTTCTGAAAATCATCAAGTTCTGGCATGATCGTCCGTTTTTTGTGCATGTGAAGTATACAAATAGTTGCATTAAAATGAATAATCGGTAATATTGAACAGAACACCTCATATATGTCAGGCCTAAAACATGAAACTAACTCTGAAGAAATTTAGGACAGTAAAAAAATGCACCATCAGGAAAAATGGAAATGGATCCTACATTCTTTGAAAATACATATGTTATTTATTTAGTTAGTAACACGATGTCCTGAACAGATTTTAGGAGGACACTGATGAAGGAAAAAAATAGTATCCTACCTACTTGTTTCAATTAAGATGGCATAGCTATTTTATATGACAATATCTTAAGATTGGTTAGTCATCGGAGAGGATGAAACCATACTTGTAAAAACATTCCAGGAGTTCATATGTACCTGCTACCCCCTTTTACAAAACAATTCTACTTGTTACCAACTGATAAATCCTTTAGCTTAATTAGCATTGGTCGGAGTACAAGTAAACAGTTACTTATACACAGCTTAATACATAAGCTTTGAACGGACCAAGGTACCAAACTGAATAAGTTGACAGTTAAACAAATTTTCACATGGAGGCCGGAACATGTGCCAGTCTCATATCTTGATCACAACCAAAGAATTGCTATTCACCATCTTTATCATGTACTGTAAGAACTGATCGGATACTACAAAATAAGATATTAGCTGCTCACCTTGGGGCAGCAATTTCCACGGCACTTGGGCATAAGGAAGAATACATGGATATCTACCCCAGCATGATGCTGAATATTTTGTGATGTTGTGGTAGAGAGGGTGAGCGAAGAGTGTCTGGGAAGGAAGCATATATACACCCATCAGTTGAAAACTGAATTGTGCAGCAGAAGAGACGTTGGCCCCCGGCATGAATGCCTGCTTAAAAACTGAATGATGAATGTGTTTATTAACAAAGAGTGGGAGCAGTTTCCCGGACAAGGCGCCATCATCGCCCGTGTCCCCCACCCTTTCGTACCTTGCAGGCGGATCCGCCGAGGAGTGGATCGGCCGGCCAACGGTTCACCCGCATCCAGCGTTTCCGCTCGATCCTCGCGCTGGATTCCCTTCCGAGTGGCGCGGGTTGGTTGGATCCACTCGCGGCGTAGGCTGGATCCCACCGCAGGTCAGCCGTGTCACCCGATTTTCCTGAATCGAGCAGCCGCCGCATCGGCTCTCTTTCAACCGCGCGTCGCATCTCTCGACCGCCCCCAGTTCTTTCATCAGTCGAGCGGTTTTTTTCTTCTTCTACGGAACGGGAGCGATCGTAGGGGAGGGCCGAGCAGGGAAACTGGCCCAATTAATCACATGGCTCGAAAAATAGCTACGGGGAGTAGCTTCCCTTGCGACGTTTGGCCCAGTTCGCAGTAAACATAGTGTTTAACTTAGATTGGACGGTCAGGAACATTCAACAAACGAAATCAAACGGCCAGAAATGCCTAATTCATAAGATACCAGGGATTAGGTGCAGTTTTACTGTTCTTAAATTGTAGCATGGAAATTTCTAAACATGCAGACAACTTCCTCTTCCCTTTTAGTCTGGCAATTCTCTCTGCTGCAACATGAAAAATCTCTGAAACGCATGGCAATTTTCATCTTCTATATAAGGTATGACAATTTTTTAGCATGGCAAATCTCTCTGTTGTTGGATGACAAATCTCACTGCTATAGTATCGCAATTTTCGAGAAGTTCTCTAGAAGAGGTTTTGTTGGGCAAACGCTGAAAAAATATTACTTGCGCATGTGAGCCTCACTGAGAGAACGTTCGTTCAAAACGTAGTCCTCGTGTAGGGAATGCCAGCTCCCTATTAGTGTCTTATGTTAAGGACGCCGATGAGCCACGGACGTTGGGGATTTGACCATGACAAATCAAACATTTTTATGGTGATTTATACTTGTTGACCATATCAAGTTTAGTTGGTAAGCATGAAAAATCCGTCCTCAGTTTGTTTTTTTGCCAAAAAATTGCCGTGCTTGCCAACTAAACTTGACATCCATGCGTTGCCACAAAAAACATTCGATATGCCATGCTACAAAATCTGGAACCCCCTTACCTGGCAAACTCGTCAGTTAGGATGGCATTTGCGAACGTTGGCATGACATTTTTAGTTGTTAGGTAGTGGGAGAGGTGGAAGTTTCTTCAGGCGACATGGCATTTTCTCCCCGAGAAGGCATTTTTTGTTTTAAAACTGTCGTTGTTTGATCTCGTTTTCCAACTAAAACTACCATCAAAGATCTCCGGCTATAATTACCAAAAATCTGACATTCGGATTTTATCATTTCCGTTAATTAGTTAATGGGGTATAGGTTGGTACAAATGATCTGGAACATAGATCCATTACAATTTAATTATGATTATTCTACATAAACTAATTCATATATTTCTCATCAATTGAACACATAAATGCCCTACCTACAGGAGGAGTCCCTGGCGGCTGCAACCCTAGCCGCCGCCAGGGCCGATCTTCCAACGCCGTTCTCCGGTGGCTCCCCTCCGCCGGCGACCTCGGTCGTCAGTGGTGAGGGGGGCCGCCGGATCCACACGTGTGAATCGATTTTACTCCCTTATAGTTTAGGTTTTTAGGTTGTTCATCGTCTTTGCTTCGGTGACGACGATGGCGACGCTGAATAAAGAATCTTCGGATCGTTCCCTGACGAGGCCATCGGTCCTATGGTCGGGGATGGATTTGGAAACCAGTCTGTTCAAGCAAGGATGGTGTGGCGGCGGCGGCGGCATCCTCGTGGTGGACCTGTGTCCTCGGGCTCCGCCGTTGCGACGACGTTTGCTCCAGCGTCGACGTGGAGCTTGGGAGGTAGTCCAGGAGCGGATGCAGATTGTGGTCTGCATTGACGACATCTAGAAGACGGAATATCTACTGGGCTCGTGGTTCGTGGATGGCAGATATGGTTTCCTCCTTCGGCATCTTAGTCGTGATGGGGTGCTAGATCTGGAGTTCGATGGCGTGTCCGGGGTGTTGCCCCGGTCTGATTCGTTCAACGGTAACGGCTTCACTTTTGGTGAGTCGCCTTGGAGGTCCGCAAAGCTGCATATCAGCGATGGAGCCGCGTCGAGCTCGGGTGAGGTGGTGATTCGTCATTCTTTTCTTCGATGGCTGCTGTGGTGGTGCCGGAGGCAGTTGACGAGCGTTGGTGTCAAGCTCCGAGATGTTCTGCTATCTTTTTGGTTTTGTCATGTCGGTCTTTACGTGATTTGTACTTTGTTCTTTATGATATGAATGAGACACGTATTACCATGCAAAAGAAAAATTGAACACATAAATAAACACTCCAGAACAAGCTTGTCATAGAAAAATTCTACCTACAATCAATCTTGACTGAGTGGTGGCCGCGCTGATGCTCCCATTGATGATGTAGAAGTGCCACTGCTGCTGCCGTTTGTTGCAGATGAAGATGTAAATCTTCGTGTGCCAACCGGCGGCATGTAATATGCAATCGGCATCAGCGTAGGGAGACTCGGGAGCGACGCCTCTGACCGCAACACGTTTACAGCCTGCCTGATAGACGGTCTCATTTTGAAGTCGAGCTGAGAACACCAGAGCCCAACAATCATCACACGCTCCATCTCCTGGGCATCAAACTTTCCACCCAATCGCTGGTCGGCGGCGTCTAGAATCCTCCCCTTGCCATACAGATCCCAGACCCACTGAGCTAGGTGGACCGCGTCATCCTCCTCCGGCTGGGGTACCACCACAGGCCGCCTGCCGCAAGCAGTCTCGAGGAGGACGACACCGAAGTTGTATACATCTGACTCGGGATTGGTCTTGCCAGTGGTCATGCACTCTGGATCCATGTACCCCATCGTGCCTGTGAAATCTGTTGTCAGTGATCTTCGGCCATGTTGGACGAGCTTGGCGAGCCCGAAGTCACCGAGCTTTGCCTTGAACGACGAGTCTAGCATAATGTTGCTTGGCTTGATGTCCCTATGCAGGACGCATTGGTCCCAGTCCTGGTGTAGGTAGAGAAGCGCCGAGCCTAGTCCGAGCAGAATCTCATGTCTGAAAACAAAGGAAATGGAGCATCACATGGCTAATTATCATCTTATAAGGCAAAGAAATCGGAATCGGAGAGTCACGATACATTTGCGGTGCTCATGATTTTTCTGTGATGGGCGGGCAGGCATACCTTAAGGGCCATGGGAGCACGACGTTATTGGCGTCGTACAGATGCCCGTCGAGGCTGCCATTGGGCATCAACTCGTAGACGAGGAGCAGATTGCCGCCTTCGTGGCACCAGCCGATGAGCTGCACGAGGTTCTTGTGCCAGAGCCGGCTTATGACCCTCACCTCAGAGGCGTACTCCTTCCTCCCCTGCTTGGAGTCCTTGGAGATCCTCTTGATAGCAACTTGAAGGTTCAATTCATTCAGAAACCCTCTGTACACGGAGCCAAAGCCTCCTTGTCCGAGCTTGTTCTCATCACAGAAATTGCCGGTGGCGACGACCAGATCCTTGTAACTAAACCGCCTGGGCCCGGAGCCTTTCTCGAAATCGTCTTCCATGGCCTGGTCAATGTCGAAGAAGTTATCCTCTTCTGACCCATGCTCCATTGCTTCCTCGTGGATTTCACCTTGCTTTCGCCGTCGCCGCCGCCATAAAAGGAAACCGATCAAGGAGCCGATAATGATCAAGAGGGAGATTGAACTAGAGACGCCGATCAGAACCGCCCTTGACGGAGGCGGAGGCGAAGGTTCTGTGAAAAAAACCCGGAGAATGGCATTGGATTAGCATGTGAATAATGCAATATGTGCAAGGTGTAGCTCCTGTAACGTCAAGCATGTAAAGACACGGCTACTGACCTCCCGACGTTTCTGGAGGAGGATGCAGAGACGACGATGGTGGCTGAGCTAGCTCGTCCTTCTGACAGAAGGTGTTGTTACCATACCCCACTTGGAGGATGTCGCAGTACTTCTTGTAGTAGTTGTTGACCCTGTCCTGGGCCGCCGCGGAGGTCTCGTTGCACTCCGTCCCGCCGTTGAGGATGTATGTGGTCATGCCGTACCCGGGGAGCAGCCCCGCGTGGCGGTCTTGGGCGGACGGCGTCCAGCCGCCGGTCATCACGGCGTGGCACGACGGGCTCGGAGCCGCCGCCGTCATCCAGAACCAGATGGCCGTCTTGAAGGCGACGGCGGGGTCTGTGGACACGAGGTCCGGGTTGCGCAGCAGGTCCAGCCCCAGCACCCTCCCTGCCTGCCGGTAGTTGTCCTCGCTGCGATTATAAACTGCGCATTAGTAGTACGAAACTTTTTTAGATCAGTAGCAGGAAATTTGCCGAATTGAAGTTCATTCATCGCGACAGAATAATTGGAAGTTCACCTTGTATAAGAGAAAGCAGGGTACAAATCAAGGGGAATTTGAGGATTTGCCACACCTTTCCCTGCACTTTGAGGATTTGCCCTCCTTTATTTTGACACTGATGATTTGCCACAACTTTTTCAAAAACTTGAGGAATTGCCCCTGATAAGATGGGCCCGCCATGAGAAGACGAAAATACCCATGAACTGCACATCGAATCACGCTTGGCTCTCTCCCATTCTTTCTGACGGTCTCACGTATTGCAACAGTATTGACATGAACGCCGCGGCGGCGCCGCGAGCTTCCCTTCGCCTTTCTTCTCCCCGCCGCCCTTTCTTTGACTCCACGCTCCCTTAGCCGGGACGCTTCCCGCCGGCTATCCCCAACCGCTGCTGACCTCTGTCAGGCTGCCGCCTCCCCCTGCCATATCTGCTCCTCGCTCGCTATCTCTTGGCGCAGAACCATCCTGTACCGCCGCTCGGGACGGTGCCGCGCGAGGCTGCGGTGGCCACGCGCACGGCCTCGGCGAGCAGCATGACCGACGTGGCAAGGGACGCTCTCGTCTTCGAGGCGGGAGGCCAGCCGGCAGCAGCATCGGCCGTACGCGTCGCAAGGGGCAAGAAACGGCTGCCGGCGACGCACGTATCCACTGCAATGACTCAAGCTGGCAGCCAGGCCTCATCGCCGTCGAGCTCGCGGTCCGCCGTGGACAGCGGCGACCACTGGACGACATCCTTGAAAAGCATGTCGCGCTCGAGCCGGACGGATGGCGGCGCCTCGAGGCGGACGACCAGCTGATGTGTGCCTGGGCGTGAGTGCTCTGTGTGCGCGCATTCTCTAGCACCTGGCCGTGCGCGATGTGTGCTAGGCGTGCTTTGTGTGTGTGTTAGTGCTGTACGTACATTGTGTGCGTTCATGCTCTGGCACCTGGGCGTGAGTGTGTGATCGGTGCGTGTGTTGTGTGCGTGCGTGCTCCAGCACCTGGGCACCCGGCTGTTGCTGCTCCTACTGCTGCATACACAGAGAAAAACGCTGTAGTCCGAGCTTGCCTCCTGTCTGGCGCGCCCTCGCCGAGCTCACCATGGACAGACACCACCGTCCTCGGGCTCGGACTGTCGACGGCACCCTCCACGCACCACATCCGGCAAACGCACAGGAGCAGCAGCAACTCGACGACGCTACCGGAGCGTGGGGAGAGGAGGAGCACCAGCAGCACAACACAGGGCGGCAGGTGGATGAGGCATGGCGAGCCGTCGGCTACGGGACGAACAGAGAAAACGTAAGCATCTAATTTGGATTGGTTTTGGCAAGGAGCAATGCTACACCTAGGTAAAGTTACGTACAGATTTTACATAATAGGCAATGTGTAGGACTGCGATTGGATGGATGGATGTGGCAGGGGCCCACACGGATGAAAATCAGGGGGGGCGATAGATTTGTTAGGCAGGTTACGTAACTCTTAGTAGGTTGGTTTCGTAGGTGTAGTATTATTGTTTGGCAAGAGTGGCATTTTGGTCATTCAATCTATAGTGTAATCTCAAATCGGTTAGAAAGGGCAAATCCTCAAGTTTTTGACAAAGTAGTGGCAAATCATCAGTGTCAAAATAAAGAAGGGCAAATCCTCAAGGTGCAAGGAAAGGTGTGGCAAATCCTCAAATTCCCCACAAATCAAACCCAGTGCCAAGCAAAAGAAAAGAGTGATGAACATGTCTCACGTACGTGGTTAGCTGTATGGGGCCTCGGCCGTAGTAGGGCGCGCTCGCCCGGTTCACCGCCTTCACGTAGCAGTAGCCGGTGGTTACGAAGGAGGTCTGCCCGAAGAAGGCGGCGAGCTCCCGCCGGCGGGTCGCGTCGTCGCCGGTGGTGCCGAAGCCACGGAACACGCTCGCGTTGGCCGCCTCCAGGAACGCGTCGTAGGTGTAGAAGGCGCCTCCCTCGCACCCGCTCATGTTGCGGCCGCTCAGCATGGAATCGAACGCCTCCCGCGTGATGGTCGACGGCACGCTGCCGGCCTGCTGCTGCTGCCCGCTGGCCACGCCGAGCAGGAGCAGGGCGGCGCCGGCGAGAGCCAGCAGCACAGCCTCATCCGCCAAGGTCTGGAATCCTAGCGACGATGGAGTGTGATGATGTGAAAATGCTGTTCGGGAATCGGGACCGTGTGGAAAACCATTGCCCATGGATTTATTGTTGCGTCGCTAGTACGACAGCAATGGTCAAAACGGGGTGCACTGATTGGTGCAGCAGCAATGTTTGTTTTTGCCTCTCTCTGTTGTGTTTTCTGCGAGGAAGGAAATGCAGTGCCCAGCCGCCTAGGAATCCTATGGGGCCTGGTACTATTTGGGTCCAACTTTTCCTGCCAAGTCACTGTCTTATAGCTGGAAAAAAATGAAGAAAATAGTTATCTGCGGCTTTCAAACCATACAGGCGTACGGAAAGGACGGAACAGTCAAGTCATCAAATCTGACCGTCGATGAGAAACGGCTTTTTTCAGTCATCCGGCCAGAGAGAATTGTCTCACCACGTCTCCGCCACAACAGGTGTAGTAGTAGCAAGAAAGACCACCACGGGCAACAGCAGGGAGCGGCATGGCCCGAAGGACGGTCCAGATGCGTCGATGACGGTTCGTAACGAGGGGTGCGATGGTCATTTCAGGTGGGCGTAGAGCGCGCGTAGACGAGTCGTAGAGCCCTGTACGAGCCTGCACCGACCCGTGTACTATTGTACGCCGGACGTGTACGTGTATTATAAGCTGGCGGTACCGTTTCCCCGCGGTCGTGCGCATGCACATGTGCTAGGATATTTTCCAAAAAAAGGCCCTAGTATCAGAGGAGGGGAACGGGCACCGGCCGCATCGCCCACCCCATTTCCCCCAAATCGCCTCCCTCTCCCTCCTCTCTCCTCTGCCTCATCGTCTCCCTAACCGGCCACCCCACCTGCTCGCTCACCACCACCGCCTCCCTCTCTCCTCCTGCTTGCTTCTGGCTCGGATGGAGCAAGGCTGTGGCGAAGCCGCCGTCGCGGACGGAGATCTGGAGAGGACGGGCGCGGAGACCGTGGCAGATGCCGTGCATGCCCTCGTTGGTGGTGCGGGTGCAGGAGGTGCTGCATCCCCACGCGCTGGATCGGTCGCTGCGGCGGCGGATGTGGAGGAGAAGAAGGTGGCCGTGGTGGACTCCGCCATGCCGGAGCTTGGCGTGACGACGTCGAGCGGCCCGTATCATGGACCTGCGGAGGCCGGCGGCGAGCACGTGGACCCGCAGGTAATCCTTGCCAGCAGTCCCCTCCGTTTCTAGTTACCCCCATTAAGCAGTAGATTTAGGTGTTAGGTTTTTGTTGTTGTTGCTAGTTGCTGCATCGATCCCCTTTTGATAATTAGAGTTTTTAGATGTTTGATTGATTTATAGTGAAGGTTAAGTTTGGATTCTGTGATTGAATCATCCAGTAGATCTACTAGTTAGGGTTTTTTAATTAGATGTTTAGTTGGGTTTTTTTGTATTGGATTCAATTATAGCCACTCATATGTAGAATCTATGATTGAATCATCTAGTAGATGTAGTAGTTAGGTTTTTTTCTATTGGATTAACCTATAGGCAGTTATATGTAGAATCTATGATTGAATCATCCAGTGGATGTAGTAGTTAGGGTTTTTTAATTATATGTTTAGTTAGGTTATTTATATTAGAATCTGGATTGCCGCATGTTCTCAGATTCTGTTCTGTGTTGTATATGTTGTTAGATTTGTTGTGCATATTCCCTCAGTGGGCCACGGCAGGGGCTGAGCAGCCACTCAGTGTATCTATTAAAGTTGATATTGTACAAATGAGGTTTAAATCCTACTTCCTTCATTTGAAGTGTATCAATTAATTGTTGAAATGAACACAGTACGTTTAACTAGTGCGCAATTTCAAAATAATTAGGAGCTTCACTTCATTATCCATAAACTAAAATTGTAGGTAAGTTTATTTTTGATCTGTAGGATTGCTGCACTTATAAAGTAAATCATAAGTAAGTTTGCTAGACATGCAACTATGCCAGATGACCAAGTCATATTAAATATATGTTGCATAACTCTATGCATGAATGTCATATGAAATAGTTTCACACCTAGCGCCAAAAAATGCACAAAGATTTCCTTTCCTAAAGCTCATGGCATTACAATATACCATCCAATATACGGTTCAGAGAATAGGGCAGCTGATGCACCACTATGTACATTACATGAGCCAGATGAAGTAAATGCAATTACTTGTTGTCAACCACAATGGCTCACTTATATAGTTGCAGGGTACATCAAAGAATGTACTACCTCCATTGGCAGACCTGAGCACTCACAAGATTATTGTTGGTGCCCAGGCTGGCATTATAGTTTGAAGGACCACAATCAGCATGATCTAAAATTTTAGTTTGACCAAGCTATCATTATAGAATGCTTGACCTTTGGATACAGTTTAATTTTAGGTCAAAGTATCATTTTAGGTTATTAGAAGCACATTGCAGATTGCTTGACCTTTGCATGCTGCGTTATGTAGTTAGTAGTATCATTGAATTAATTACTTATATTGCAGAATGAGGAAGCTGCTGGGAACAAGAGGAAGCTGGACATCGCTGGGTTCAACGACCCGTCTGATTCTGACGACAACGAGGAGGTAACCCCAAGATGTTTTTTGTCTGTTTATTAATCTGTTTGAGATGTTGTTTGTTGATGATGCCCTATATGAATGCCTCTAAATTGGAATGTTATGTAGTTTATTCATTGATATCATAAAGTTGTGTTGTTTGGTCATTAATTAGCTCTAAATGGCATATTTGTGGTCTTTGATCATGAAACCATATCTGAATGCACATAAATGGAAATATTGTGTTGTTTGTCCATTGGATTATTCTAAAATGGAAAATTTTGTTATACTTTCAATTAATTCCTCTGAAAGTTGTGTTGTTTGTGCATTAATTAGCTGTAAATGGGATATGTGTGATGTTTTTTCATGAAACCATATATGAATGCATATAAATGGAACTATTATGTTGTTTGTCCATTAAATTCCTCTAAATGGAACTATTCTGTTGTTTGTGCATTAGTTAGGTATAATGGGCTATTATGTTTGTTTGTTCATTAAATTACAGTAAATGGCAATTATCTGATGTTTGTTAATTACATTACTCTAAATGGGAAGCATGTATTTATGCAAATCAGTTGTATGTGCAGTACAACTCTGGAGATGAGGTGGAAGAGAGGAACCACAAGTCCTTCATTGAGCATGAAGCCAACAAGATGAGGGAGAAGGGGAAGGCGGCGTACTACAAGTGGGGCAAGTTCAGGTGCCCATACTACACCACTAAGCCAATTCCCAAGGATGGGCTGTATGAGCACCTTATGTCGCATGCACGCGGTTTAACAAAGACTGGGAGCGACGTGAAGATCAGGGCAGAGCATGCAGCCCTCCTGAAGGCTATGGGTCCCATCTAGTCACCCTTTGTGAAGCTGGTAGTGGTACTAATCATCAGTATAGTTGATGATGTTTAAATTTTGTGCTAGTATGGTTGTGAACTGTGAATCTGGAAGGTGGAAGTGTTTGTGAACTGTTAAGTAGTATGGCAGACTCTTAAGTAGTATGGCCGACTCTTAAGTATGGCAGAGACTTAATTAATCAAGTATGTCTCTGAAGTATATCAACTGTCTAGATGCAGGTTAGCTATGCTTTGTTGCAGTGTTTATATTCTGATGCTGCAATGATCACAGTAGGTGCTTCAATGTTGCTTGACTGATGAGACATGCTGCATACAGTGGGCATGTGCTTGGTAATCGTGTGTGCAAAGAACAAGCCTTATCTACATAGGATAGATAGTGAAAAACATTGACTTGAGGTTTTCATAAGTTAGCATGATCGAATCTTCCATTACAAATATATTATTAAATTTAGAAAATGTTGAAAATCATTTTTTGTCAATGTTCTTAAGTTAGCATGATTGAATATTCCATTTCAAATATATCATAAACATTGGAGAACATTGAAAATCCTTTTTTGTCAATGTTCATAAGTGAGCATGATTGAATATTCCATTTCAAATATATTTTTAAAATTATAAAATGTTGAAAATCCTTTTTTGTCAATGTTCATAAGTGAGCATTATTGAATATTCCATTTCAAATATATTTTTAAAATTAGAAAATGTTAAAAATCCTTTTTGTCAATGTTCATAAGTTAGCATGATTGAAACTTCCATTTGAAATATATTATAAGAATTAGAAAATTTTCAAAATATTTTTTTGTTAATGTTCATAAGTTAGCAAGATTAAATCTTCCATTTCTAATATATTTTAAAAAGTGGAAATTTTGGAGGTGGTCGATAAAATCACCGCCTTCTGGATGGACCATTTGGTCTAACTTACATGGTGATTTTTTGCACCACCTCCTAATCACCCAAATTTTCTTTTACATGGTGACCCACATGTGCCAAACATGGCTATCAAAGAAAATTTGGAAAAAAATCATTACGTGATTTGATGTAGATCAAAACACATGTCAACTGAAAAAAACACATGGCTATTAATGGAATTTCAACAAAAATGAGGCCGTGGTGTATGAATTCTGCTCCCAGTCAAGTCATGCATGCATGCCATGGCCATCGTAGGGTGTGCATAAAAACACATGTCAGTTGAAAAAAAAACTTGACTATGAGCAGAATTCATACACCACAGCCACAATTTATTAGGTGATTTGATGTAGATCAAAACACATGTCAATTGAAAAAAAAATTGTGTATTGCATGCAAGTGAGCATGTGTAAAATTTACTACGTGTTTTGCAGAATATCAAAACAAATGTTAATTGCAAAAAAAATGCCCACCTGCCAGAGGTAGGAGAAATCTAACACCACGGCCTGCATACGACTAGGAACCAAACCGTTCATGGGCCAGGATGCAGGCCCGTGGTGCAGAATATCTTTGCTTCTGGTAGGCCCCACGGGGCAGAGGGGATTAGAGTTAGGCAATGTACTTCCTGCATTTGAGAGGAGCTCGAGTGGGGTGTCACAGCCGGGTATATAAATCGGTGTGGCGTCCTCTCGCTTGGCGAGGTGGGACTAAACTCCCACCCGTGCTCACTCCCACCACCCCACGGCTGTGCCTGCGCGGCTCTGCCTTGGGTCCAATTCAGGTGTGCTGGCCCAGGGCAGCCCGA